TGCTCTGCCTGTAATGTGCACCCATTGTAGTAAGGCACAGTCAACATTGTTTTACTTTAAAAATCGTATTTTCTTTAAGTCTAATCCTGTAACATTATTTTTTTTTAGTGTTGCCTGATCACTTCTGACATATATATTTATTTGTCATATTTCTAAGATTTATATGGCATTCAGCGTAATGCCTGAGAGCTTCTGGGATATATACCAAACTTAGTTTTTCATTCACTGTTCATAGAGGGAAATGATGTCTTTCTTTTTTGGTTCATCCAGGCTGAAGACCTGCATTCAGAGTAATACCTGAGCACTTCTGGAATACATAACATACTTAGCTTTTCATTCATGGCCATTGTAGGGAAGTGTTCTATATCTTTTCTGGTTCACCAAGGCTAAAGTCCTGGCATTCAGAATAATACCTGAGCGCCTCTGCGATTTATAACATACTTAGCTTTTCATTCATGGTCAATATAGGGAAATGTTGTCTATCCTTTATGGTTCACCCAGCCTAAAGTCCTGACATTCAGTTTAATACCTGAGCACTTCTGGGATATATTTCATACTGAGCTTTTCATTCATGGTCAATATAGGGAAGTGTTGTCTATTCTTTCTGGTCCACCCAGGCTGAAGTCCTGGCATTCAGTGTAATGCCTGAACACTTCTGGGATATATAATATTACTTAGCGTTTCATTCGTGGTCAATTTAGGGAAGTGTTTCTATCCTTTCTGGTTCACTCAGGCTGAAGTCCTGGCATTCAGAGTAATGCCTGAGCACTTCTGGGATATACAACATACTTAGCTTTTCATTCATGGCCAAAATAGTGAAGTGTTGTCTATCCTTTCTGGTCCACCCATGCTGTAGACCTGGCATTCAGAGTAATGCCTGAGCGCTTCTGGGATATATAACATACTGAGCTTTTCATTCATTATAAATAGAGGGAAGTGTTGTCTATCCTTTCTGGTTCACCCAGGCTGAAGTCCTGGCATTCAGTGTAATGCCTGAGCGCTTCTGGGATATTTAACATACTGAGCTCTTCATTCATGGTCAATATACGGAAGTGTTGTCTATCGTTTCTGGTTCACACAGGCTGAAGTCCTGGAATTCAATGTAATGCCTGAGTACTTCTGAGATAGATAACATACTGAGCTTTTCATTCATGGTCAATAAAGGGAAGTGTTGTCTATCCTTTCTGGTTCACCCAGGCTGAAGTTCTGGCATTTCAAGTAATGCCTGAGCCCTTCTGGGATATATGACAGCTTTTCATTCATGGTCAATATAGGGATGTGTTGTCTATCCTTTCTGGTTCACCCAGGCTGAAGTCCTGGCATTCAGTGTAATGCCTGAGCGCTTCTGGGATATAAGGAAATGATGTCTTTCTTTTTTGGTTCATCCAGGCTGAAGACCTGCATTCAGAGTAATACCTGAGCACTTCTGGAATACATAACATACTTAGCTTTTCATTCATGGCCATTGTAGGGAAGTGTTCTATATCTTTTCTGGTTCACCAAGGCTAAAGTCCTGGCATTCAGAATAATACCTGAGCGCCTCTGCGATTTATAACATACTTAGCTTTTCATTCATGGTCAATATAGGGATATGTTGTCTATCCTTTCTGGTTCACCCAGGCTGAAGTCCTGGCATTCAGTGTAATGCCTGAGCGCTTCTGGGATATATAACATACTGAGCTTTTCATTCATGGTCAATATAGGGAAGTGTTGTCTATCGTTTGTGGTTCACCCAGGCTGAAGTCCTGGCATTCAGAGTAATGCCTCTACGCTTCTGGGATAGATAACATACTGAACTTTTCATTCATGGTCACTATAGGGAAGTGTTGTCTATCCTTTCTGGTTCACCCAGGCTGAAGTCCTGGCATTCAGTGTAATGCCTGAGCACTTCTGGAATATGTAACATACTCAGCTTTTCATTCATGGTCAATATAGGGAAGTGTTGTCTATCCTTTCTGGTTCACCCAAGCTGAAGGCCTGGCATTGAGAGTAATGCTTGAGCACTTCTCGGATTTATAACATACTTAGCTTTTCATTCATGTTCAATATAGGGAAGTGTTGTCTATCGTTTGTGGTTCACCCAGGCTGAAGTCCTGGCATTCAGAGTAATGGCTGAGCGCTTCTGGCATATATAACATACTTAGCTTGTTATTCATGGTCAATATAGGGAAGTGTTCTCTATCCTTTCTGGTTTACCCAGGCTGAAGTCCTGGCATTCAGAGTAATGTCTGAGCGCTTCTGGGATATATAACTTACTTAGCTTTTCATTCATGGTCAATATAGGGAAGTGTTGTCTATCCTTTCTGGTTCACTTAGGCTGAAGTCCTGGCATTCAGTGTAATGCCTGAGCGCCTCTGGGATATATAACATGAAAACCGCGACGTGAAGAGAACGTCAAAACACAAAATGCTGGCAACAAAAGTCAATAAATAACACAAGGCAAATTAACTGCTGGTACATTTCTTTGCGAAGCTAGATCGTGAAATTTCTGATGCAACGTTTTTGTAGGACGTAAACACACGACGAAGAGTGATTTCCTGACAAACTGGGTAATATGAGATGATATAAAGTATGAAACAACACGAAATAACGCGCTCAGCCTCAAGTAATCGATGTACCGTATCTGCTTGAATAAGCGTCCTCCCCTCCGCTATTCAAACTTGTGGCTCTGAATAAGCGCGACACAGGAACCCTTTCTTTTTCAGCTTTCATAACATTTTAAACTTTTACAACCTTAGATGAATATTTTGGGAGAGATTCTTGCTTTAAGAGTTATATTACGCCGATGTATTACCTTTCCTTTTTATATGGCTGGCTTCGCAAGCCGTGCAAGATGCAGCGAATTCTGTGAGCTGATTGGCTATTAACCCTTGCTTATTTTTCGTTTTCTGCGGTGGCCAGCATCGCAGCCATTTTGTCCTTGTGTAACCTGAAGGCAAGCTCTCGCTTGGCTCTCAACGTTTGGCTCAGGTTTGAGTCCTCCTGCTTGGTCAATAACGCATTACTGGATCTACTACTGCGCTCCATGTTAATTTCCGAACCAGCCTGGCGCACAGCGCTTGACTCAGTATTTAAAGCTGGTTTTTTCGGAAAAAGTTATCGTCCCACCCCTCTCAAGAAGCTTTTAGAAAATAAAAATTCAAGGACTTTCCAAGGATTGGTTGAATTCATTGGGGGATTTCCCCTGAAATTCACGGTCTTGCAAGACAGTACGAACCCTGTTAAAGTTCTAGGGAGTTTGAACTTGTTCGTAACGTGTCATTAAACGAAAGTTTGTCTTTGTCTGTTTAAACTAATTTCTACTTCGTCCTCTTTCGCATTATTCAGCTACAAATTGCACGTCTAATAATTTTTCACTTCGTAAGCTTTGTCAGCTTGTTCAACATCTATCTTGATTTGAAAACAATTATTACACCCTCGGTCTCTGTTTATTCACGATTTTAATCATCTTTGCGGAGGAAGTAGCGCAAAATGATTTTCAACGCCAGTGCCTTAATCACATCGTAGCTATACTAGTCTGTAATCCCTCGCAACTATCTAGAGGATTCCGGCACCAATTTAGGTCATCTGAAGGCCATTGACAAAGAATCTTATGAGTACTGTATGAATATAGTTTAAAAAACTGGAACAGTGTCTAAACTATAAATGCGACATAAAATATCAGTGAGAAAGAGCCCCCACGTAATGTGGACTCTTCGTTAAACAGCCAAGAAACTATGGGTTGTAATACGCCGATTCGAAAACAAAAATCGGGTAAAATTGATTAGAAAGCAAAACACTCAGGCCGCCAGTTAAATGTCGTAGTAAATAAACGTCACAGCCTGTGTTAGTATTGATGAAGTCAACTGAATCCGCTAGCATTGACTAAGAAACGTTTCTTCGACGTGACTGTATCATTAGCCGCAACACACTCCGGGCGAGTGCTCTGTCTCATCATTAGGGAGCTTACGAATCGACGACTTTCGCACGACGGCGCCGTTGAGTCACCTTATAGTCCCGCGTCGTCCTCCTGTAGAAATTTGAATTTACGATTCGCTGTAAAGACGACGACGTTTATGCGCGACCGGCAAATTTTCCCGCCGTTTCTGAAGTTTTTGAAGTTCTTTTGACAAGGCGAGTTGTGTAAACTAAAATGCATAACTTCAGAGAAGCGAGAGCTTGTATCGCATACTCTTATGGAAGCAAAGGCGATCGAACAGGCAGGAGCTGCCTTAAACAGCTATTAGGGATTCGTAGATGGGACTGTGCGTCCAGTTTGTAGGCCTAACGAAAACCAACGAGCCATCTACAACGGGCATAAGCGTGTCCACTCTATCAAGTTTCAAGTTGTCGCTTTGCCTAATGGAATAGTGGGGAATCTATTTGGCCCAGTTGAGGGAAGACGCCATGACAGTTTAATACTGGCTTCCTCAGGATTCTTGCAAGAACAGCAAAGGCTTTCCAGCTGTCCAGTAACTGGCCTCCCCCTCTGTGTGTACGGTGACCCCGCCTATCCGATACGAGCACATCTACAAAGGCCCTTTAAGGGTGGTCTCCTGACCCCAGCTCAACAAGATTTTAACACCTCAATGGGCACAGTCCGCTCTTCTGTGGAGTGGCTATTCGGGGACATTGTTAATTATTTTAAATTCTTAGATTTAAAAAAAAAACCTTAAAATCAGACTAAGTGCTGTAGGAAAAATGATGTATGTAACATGTGCGTTAATGCAGAATGCGCATAGCATTTTATTTGGTTCTGTTACCTCAGAGTATTTTGGTCTCAATCCGCCAACTCTTGAGGAACACTTTAATTGATGTATTGTACTTAAGATACACATGCAATACTTTTGTTACAGGACATAAACAATTTGGCCTCTTACAAGATAGGACACAAAAGTGTAAAACGCGTTATCATCAGAGTACAATTAAGTGACGAAAACAGAAATCAAAAGCTCTGTTCAAATGTTAAGATGCACCAAAAAAATGTCTTTTACTTCGGAAATACTATAGCTGCTCCAAACCTATTGTGTCTTTCTTAAAAGTTCAGTAATTGCCTGAGATTGTGCTTGCTGGCTGTTAAGCATCATCGGCATCATCTGCATCATCTGCATAAACTGTTGTTGCTGTTGTTGCTGCTGCTGCATCTGTACATGTTGTTGATCTCGCAGCTGAGAAAGCAGTGCCTGCTTATTAGCCATGGTAGCTTCTTCTTGCTTTCTCTTTTCTAGTTCCTCTTGCCTTAACTTTGATTCCCTCTCTGCTGCCTCCCTGAGATAGTTAAGTGTGTCACTGCTTTTTTGACGTTTTTTTCGCGGTTCATCTTTTCCATTTCGCTTCATAGCCTGAGCTATCCGCTCTATAGCCCTCTCCCTCATTTCCTCCCCTGTAGCTTTATCTTTATCCTCCTTGTCTCGATCCTCAGCTGATTCTTTGGTGTGTTTAGTCTCTTCCTCATCTCTTCTCTCTAGATAGTCTTCCATGATCTGATCTAATTCTCGATATTGCTTGGAAATTCCCGAGCCCTTATCGGTTTCTCTCTTCCTGCCCTGCCAATCCCTTTCTAGGATTTTCAAGCTGTCTCTCAAACCCTTTGGTGAAACGCAAAATTGGGTATCTCTGTTGTTGTTCAGAATTTTGCAAATTTCCTCTGAGCAGTTCCCCGCTCTCTGGTGCCTGATCGAACGGTACTTCCACGGCTCCCAACTAAGGATTTCGCTACCAAATATAGTGTCATGTTTCAATGACTATTTCATCTTAGACATTCTGTGAAAAGATCATAAAAAATATAACTGTTACTTATAAATAATTGTGCAAAGATCGATTGTTCAATTTAAGACCAACAGCTTAATTTCTATAAACATAACTGTTACTGTTTCAAATCTTGCTTGATAAAGTACATAATGAGGATATAATGCACAGCGTTGCAATTTTGACTCTGGCTAACTGTAAATGTAACCCTTTCTTGACAAGTTATTTATTTATGAAACCACACGGGTTGGTTGTTAGACACGGGAGCTGGAGAAAAAATATGCAAGACAGACTAACAAAATGTGATAGCATGGCAGAAAAGAAAGCGCAGCTGTATAAAGTCGAGAAAAAGTTGGGTCTTAAAAGATTAGGCTGGCTACAAGAACACTCAAAACAACAGACGTAAAATTCCCTTGCTCTGTAGTTGAGCTATCTAGTCCTTGTTCCCAACTGTCGACACGAATGCTAAAAAGCAACTTTTAGTCCCTTCAAATTCTTTGTACTCTAGAAAATGTTTTATATTTCAGTAAAGCGTGATTAAAATGAAAGATGTTTCATACAGCAATTTACTTTTCATTCATACCGTGTCGCGCTTTGACCGCTTTCAGTGTTGGTTGAACTCACAGCGTTCGCCATGGCACTGTAGAAGGTCGTTTCTTGAACGAAAACAGGCACATAAAATTAAAATCAAATGTCAAGGACATGCCCCTAATGTGATACTTAAATCATTCGGCAAAAATACCCGAAGCATCGAGAGAAAACTTTGAAAACTAACCTCACGTCCTCCTGTTTCCAAGACGCCGGCAAATCGCTCTTACCAACGTCGTCGACTTTGGCGCGAAGCTGACAAGTGCTCAGAAAGGCATGCGCAGTGAGCATGTCACGCAATCTAAAGGCGGCGTTGTGCAAAAGTCGTCGATTCGTAAGCTCCCCACTATTTTTAAGCGCCGACCATGTACACTTTTTTTCGGATACGGCTTCTTTAATTACATTTCACACCATAGGATGATGAAATGATTGTTTAAAAGTTGACGCCTCTATCAGATTAGAAGCGAAATACGATCAAAGATTTTACCCAAGCAAGCCACTGGTATCCAGCAGAGAATGCGGACTAATAGCATGGATTCTCTGCTGGATACCTAGACTTTTTTTGGTTGCTAACGGCGTGAGGCTCGTTATGAATCAAAACGTTTAATTAATTACAGATATGTGTTTTATTGATTTGCCAATTTGTTTTGGGCTTTAAGCAAAAAGTCCACGCTTTTTAGACACCGTGCATTACTTGCCAATGTGACTGCTACTAACTAATGTGAGGCAACTTTGATCTAACGGCCTGAAGGCACGATTTCCGGCCGCTTGTCGTTTCAACGTTTGCACATGCGTATTCGTTTGAACAGTGTTGCCTGCACAGCACATTTAGTCTTCGTACTGATCATCCGAGGCAGTAAGCTGAGATTTATTTGCCCCCGGCCCCGCTGTATGAAATCTTAGGTAAGCATCATAGTCGATTTATAACTGTGAGTACTATCAGTGGGATAGTGTGAGTAGTAGCTGTTACCCAGTAATGATTTGTAACGGTTACATATTTGCGTAGGAACGAAAGTTTGGTGAATAATTATGGTTTACATACGATCTCCTTTTCCCGTTTAGTTTACAACTAAGTATCTTTAAACTTGGAAAACTAGCTGAAGTTGGTCTAATTAGCGTAAGCTCTGCTGAGAAATATATTGCGACTTAGTTTCCTTGTGAACGGAACTGAATATGCATTGAAAGGCCAAAGCTAAATATACCTGTAGACGTAATCGCGTGCACAAAGAATAAGGAGTGTCAAACGCGAAGTCTAATGGTAGATGCCACATCTGGCTTTAAAAATAGAAAATTCATAAATGACACCTACTCAGTCGTTGCTAATCTAAGAACTATCAAATAATTCCATAACATTCTCTAGGTTTAGGTGTATCTGTATCTGCTTGACTGCCGCAACGGTTATGTAATAGACTCACTATAAGCGCAATTAACACGCTAGTGATTTTGTTCGGGCAATAATCATAGATGATTGATTAATGAAAAATAACAAAAAAAAATAATAAAAAAAAGGAAACAAGACTCAGCTTGTAAATGGAAGGGCAATGCAAGGACATCAAGGTTTGTTACAGGCAAGTCTAGGTTAAATCAATTAAATGCAATTGATAAATATTAACTCCGATTTATCGTACTAATTGGCGGGGTAATTATTAATATTACATCCAAAACTCAATTAAAATACAAATATACCATTTTTTTAACAAGTCAAGGACATTGCAATCAAAGGAAAATACTAAATTTTTCCTTTATAATCATTCAAATCTTTATTGCATGTATGAATTTCTATCGCTCTAGGGTATGTGACATGGATCACTGGTTGCTTTCAACCTGTATTCTCCTGTGGGTTTTTACCTTTTCATCAGCGGAAGTGGGTAAGAAATGCTTGTTAGAAAATTCAGTTTAAAGTAAAATCAAATTCTAAGTTATCAGAAAGTAGGCAAGTGACTGTGTGGCAGGAAGTTAATCGCTATTCAATATTAATAAACAATTATTCTCCGAAGGCCAGACGAATATTGTTGAAAAAATTACTCGAAAATATTCAATGAGCCTGAGGCGAATAATTATGTCAGTATAATTGCTTAAAAGCTTTTGAATCCTGCTACATTCGTTTTGCGTTTCAAACCATTCCATAAAAAAAACATTTGGGAATATTTTGTTAGAATTGTTTCGATTACTCTTATCAAGATAAATAGGCAGTTTCTGCAGAAATTTATCAGGTTTATCAGGAAAACCGTCATATCACAATTTTGAAAGTGTTACGCCAAACTTAAAAGCATCTCTAGTGCTCTTCGGAATTAAAATTCGTTTTATCATCTCTTCCTGGGTAAAATTGACAAAACATTTGGCAGATATTTTGAAATCCAGCGCCCTCAAGATAATCACCTCGCGAGAGGTGATTACAGCGAGATATGACACGATCCTCGACTAATTATAGTACGAAAACCTTTATAATCACCTGAGAAATTATTTTAACACAAAATACTGCTTTTACACTAAAACGAATAAAAGGAAATTGAAGGAAGCGAAGAGTTAGAAAATTCTGGATGCGTCATTTCTATTTGAAGCTTGTAGACCTCAAGCTGAAGTTTTCCATTCAAATCTCACAAGTTCCATATCTTTTATCTAAATAATCAAAGCTGTTTTTGCATGTGAATTTGATACGGTTACCGTGCACTTTTGCACAATAAAGCACTTTTCTGATAAGATTTCTAATATCTTAATGTATTCTCTCTAAAGTTATTTTAGAAAAACAGCCAACACAATCTGAGAACTCTAACTGGCAGCCATCAAAGCCGCCAACAACAAATAGCGGACCTACTGGGGTGAGGTTTAATATTCATTTCACCAATCGCTGTTTTATATACCACTGTAACATAAATAAACTCACTGAATAGTTGAACAACGTTTTCACAGTAAAATCTCGTTGACACTCTTTGTTATTGGCAAAAAATATACTTCATAAAAGTTTTAAGGTAAATTAAGGCGAAGGTTGAAGCAGTTTTGCAAACTCATTACCGCATATTCAGAATTATTACTGACGGATGCATTTCTCTTCGCAGTAAGAATACTTTGCTCTAGGAATGTACAAGAAAGCTGCTTACTTTTAATCGTGATGTTCCTTTGGATACGTTTCCCTACAAATTTTTTCCAAAAATATCGTCTTCTCTCCACGCAGAGTGTTATAACTAAGCAGTGCTACTGAGGGTATTTTCCAGTTAACACTTCTTGTTTAGCAGTATGCTTACCCTTCGCATGTTTGCAATCGAAACTACTGTAGGACTGCACATAAGCAATGCGGACGATAGGGAGGAAAACGTATAACTTATTCCTTTAAAAACTACTGAATAGTTTGAACTGATTTCTCGTCATAGTGGGTGAAGAGGACTTTCTACTCAACTTGTGATGTTTCTCTGGATGCATTCCCACGACCAAACAACTGGCTGAGAAGTAACCCTATAGAGGTCCACAGTGGAGTGAACGCAGTCTATATTACAACTGAGTTTCGAATAAAAAACTGTTCGTCTTACCCTGACAATGGAGGGAAATATTGCACAGAGTATTTGGGCTTATATGTGTTCCGTTCTTCCCGAAATTCGGAACCCAACCCACTGACAAATAATGCCTCGTATGAAAAAATTGCTAAAATAGCTGCACCAGCCTTTGGTTTTAATATCACACAAACTTTTAGAGCAGCAGTTACAGGAAAGTATCTAGTATTGGCATTTCATGACGAAGGCTCGTGTAGTGACCTTTTCTCTGTTACCGTTAAATATTATGTATGCCCAGAATTAAGTCACGTTGGTGGTTTAGTCTCCTTACCAAGAACAGTGGCTCCAGCAAGCGACTCAGAGCCAGTTGTTGGTGGTTGTGTCACAAATGCCGTGACCGAGCAAGGTATTCTAAGTGCAAACTGCCAAAGCGACGGTGCTTGGAACATCACTTCCCTTAAAGGAAGATGTGTATGCATGGAGGACATGGAAAATGTAAGAGGAGAATGCAAAGGTAAGTGACTTGAAGGCAAACTAAAGCGCTCGAAGCAACACAACAACAACAAGGTGTCTAAACGTTAATTAATTAGCACCTTGACTTAGAACACAAAGATCTATACATCAGGTGACCAGTCACAAGAAAGAACAATGGGGTATGTGAATGCAGTATAGTTCAGAAAAGAAGGCTTTTGGGCCGGATACAATAATGCATGTTTAAATAAAAAAAAAATAAATATATTTATGGATTGATAAAAAAAAAAAAAGAAAAAAAAGAACAAGAGCATAGAAGTGTAAAACTGATATCTTGTCTTGGAGAAAGTTGTCAAATTTATAACTACTTATAGCATAAGAAGTGGAAGAGGACCGCGTGCATTTAAGTAGCAAATAGACCTTGAATGATAAGAAGGAAACCCATGTTAGTTGAATATTATTTTTTCTAGATTGTCCAGTTGGAAAATATAATAATCAGAATGGCCTGAATTGCACAGGTAAGGAAATGGTACAAAGCCCTGCCCAGGAAACATATAAAATCCTACTTTGGCCCGTTCTTGTTCATTCAGTTTGCAAATCAATAGATGTCATGATCAGTTGCAACATAAAGAATTGTGCTGAGGTCGAGGCACAGCTAACCATTGAAAAAATCTCAAAAATATCATGGTGTGCAGAGAGAAAATATCGAATTCAATCAACACGGTCTTTGTATCTGCGATAAGGTTTATTTTATAGAAAGGAAGTGATTGATAGGAAACACTTGTTCTAGTGATATTTTTCAACACTTAAAAAAATTTAACAATCGAAGGTATAAAGGGGAAAGGGCTAGCTTGTGACATACATTAGAATAGTATAATTTTATGAAATGTAGACTACGTTTAGACGAAAAAAAATTTTTTAAATGGTACAATCTGCTTTAATATATAGAAAACTTAACGAAAATACGTTAAGCTCTTCTCATCCTCTTCCCCTTTAGCACAAGCAGAGATATTTCAATGCTTTCTATAAAAAAGAAACGATTTTGTAAGCAGTTAACCCTTTGATGAGTGCATGATGAAGTGTTTCCAACTCCCTTTCAAATTTCAAGGTTTGAAAAACTTACTTGTCAGAACGAAGTGAAAAAGCATTGGTCATTGATTTTCCAGAAAAGAAAAGCCTCTTTCAATTCATCTGTTCATCCTAGTTCTACCATCAGCCCCAAAGGGTGTCAAGGTTGCTTTTCTAAACCAAAGCGCAGTTGAGATATCATGGCAGCCTCCAATGGTGACTGGTGATGAGACTCACGTGCTTTATGACGTTGAATGTCGCATACGGAAAATATGCGGCATTGGCGAAGTCAACAATTGTGTACATGGAGATTGCGGTATTCTAAATACTACAGACTTGGAAATAAACCACCTGATCGTGGCAGGTCTTTCTTCATTGACAAGTTACACTTTCAAAATATTCGCCAAAAACAGAGTAAGCGAGGTGGCTAAAAGAAAACACAGAGTTGAATGGAATTTCGCAACACTGAACTTTGGAACTAATGGATCAGGCAAGTTGTGGGACATTTTAGTTAAAGATTCAAGACCTCCAATAAAAATCCTCTTTTACTTGCCGTGCTTTTAACCTGCGCTACAATATGACACAAGGGGAAGGTATATGGTCTTAAAAAATTCCGTCAAAGACAATGACGATACGTGGCTATTTCTCAGCATATTACTCCCAAGTTTTGTCCATCGTTACACTCAGATCTCCGCATTAAAACAGCCTCCATGTTACATGTATAATTAGTGACTGAAATACAATTTCAATAGCGTGGATTACTTAAAAAAGCATGGGCGTCTGTCTGAGGAAAAAAATACTAAAAAAGTGTAATAACGAGGTGAGTGGGTTAGCTTGGTGACCATGAGGTGAGGTGCCACTGAACGTACCATTTATACTCAATACTGGTCAAAAATTAAATTTTTTTCATCTCTTGTGAAAATAAGCCTCACTGACTCAAACCTCACAACCTCAGCAACTGAAAGTAATTAAGAAAATATCAATTTAAAAAAAAATCGTGAAGGCACTTTAAGGAAGAGACATTTGGCGAAAGATATAATCTGCAAGACTCTGCAGGGTTAGGATTACTTAGCCAAGTAGAATTAAGGTATCTATGCATGGTCTTATAAAAATCCCAAGCCTAACGATAATTACGATAAGTGGCTATTTCCACTTTTAATTTTCCATCTTTACTAAGTATAGTGTGAAGGCGCGGTGCCCTCATGGTTGTTGCGCTCGAATCTGGATCGAGTGGTTCGAGCTCGAGTCCCGGCCGGGACATTGTGTTGCGTTCTTAGGCAAGACACTTTACTCTCACAGTGCCTCTCTTCACCCAGGTGTATAAATGGGTACCGGCAAATTTAATGCTGGGGGTAACCCTGCAATGGACTTGTTCGCACGAGGGTTGGGAGTAGAAATACTCCTAGTCGCTTCATGCTACAGAAACCGGAGTTAAGCACCGGCCTAATGGGCCACTAGGCTCGTAAATAGACTTTACCTTTACCTTTTTACTAAGTATAGTATAAATATCGTGCAAATTGAGCACATGTGATGTTTGGACACTTAAGTACTGTTTAACAGGTGGGTTACGCTTGTCTTTCTGCTTTGTTCTGGTGTGTAGCATTGCTGAGTACTTTAAGTCGTTGTTTGTTTTTTGACTCGTCCTAACTACATTAGAGATACTCAGTGATACTCCACACCAAAACGTCCATTAAGATATATGTAAACTTATCACTAGCAAAGATTGGTTATCGTAATACTTCAAGGTCTGCTATTCATATTAATATTATCATTATTACTATTATTATTATTGTTGATGATTAAGTGATTGTTATTATTTAGAACTATTTTAGTTTGAAAGCTTCAGTCATTCTTATCTAAAGAACTTTTTCATCTCTTGTACAGACGCATTTTCATCAACTAAAACCTCAGGAATTGAAGGTAACCAAGAGATTTTCACTTAGAAATAGTAAGGATAATTTAAACCACCGTGCTACCACATTGTTCGAGCGAGCTAATAACTGGCCATTACAACCAACCTTAATGATCACTGCTGATTAGAAAAACATGTCAACAGATCCAGCTTCTCCTACTAAACCCCCAGGAAATAAAGGCAAAAAAGCAGTTTCAATTAGAAATCATTAGGTAACTTTAAAAGTTGGAAATAACAAAATATGGAGGACTTTTAAAGCCCTCAACAAGTCTTAGCTTACTGATTTATTATTGAACCGAAATACCATGCACTTCCTAGTCAAAGTTCTACATTTAATTCGTGTATGTACAGTCACGCTGCTCACAAAACCATTACTAAATACTGTTCTTATTCTAAACACTTGCGAAGCTATTTATTGTTTGCTTTGATAAATTTAGAAGACCCAAGAGTTACAAAACATCTGAAGACTGTCTACGTATTGGTTGGATTGCTTGGCCTGTTAATATTCTGTATCATGGTTTTTGTGTGTTACAAAGTTTGGAGAAGGTTAGTTTAAGAGTAGGCATTAAAAAAGGAGAATATTCCATGGCAGTTGAACGTTTGAAAACGTTCCGCCATGATTACTGAACACTGGTGAAAACGACTTGAAAGCGTAAAAGACGTTAACGAAACACAACAACAACAACAACAACAACAACAAATTTTATTTAAGCTTAATAAGAAAATTACAATGCCTGGGCATGAAGGTAGCTACGGATATTCGAGGTGGGCTTAACAGAGGAAAATAAAAAAAAGAAAATAATTCTATTGTAAATGAATATTTATATGTATAATTATAATATATAGACGAACAATCCTAAAAGAAATCTAGTTTGCCGTATGGCTTATAGACAGAATGAAACAGGAGGGCAGACTGTAGTATATATTGGAAGTACACACAGTTAACACTTAGAATTGTACTCTAATCTCAGAAATTCTTATATAATTACCCTCTTTTTTTAGAATTTCAAATAGTTTTTCCTTTATTGCGCTTTTAAATTGATTTTTTTTTAAGTGCTTTGAAAGGAAGTGGAATACTGTTCCAGATCAAGGTGCCAGAAATAGAGAAGGCTCTCTTCATATTTTTAGTTCTAACTTGTTCAACATAATAATTTTCATTTGTAACAGATCTAGTCTGGTAATTGTGGACAGAAGCCAGCTTCGTGAACATATTCTTAATGTTATCAGGAACGAGATTATTGTGGACATCGTACATTAAAAGGCTTATTCGAAACACAAGAATGATATCGGCAACTGTTTAGTTTGTAAGAGTGACGGAACTGCATGAGCTCTTGGTTCAGCGAAGAACATTAGCCTAAGGGTTCTCTTCTGAAGAAATAGTAGTTTATGAAGATGCGCTGCAGCAGTGTGATCCCAAGCACAAATGCCATAGCTGATATAGGGTAAGATTAAAGAGCGATATAAGTGAGAAGTACATGACGGGGAACAAAATTTCTGAGATTGGAGATAATTCCGATTGTTTTACTGATTTTACTGACAAATGTAATCTACATGAGTTTTCCATGAAAGATTCGAATCAATGAGTACACCAAGATATCTAATGTAGTCTTTCATTTGTAAGAGTTGACTGGTGTTTAAATTGCTATTTACCATTTTAATATTAGGATAAAAAGGAATAGTCTTTTGGCGTAAGCGAAAGATAATATCATTCTGGGTTTTTTCGATGTTCAAGGTATTGACAGCTAGCCACGAGGGTACTTTGTTAAGTTCTTCGTTAACCTCAGATTCAAGTTTTTTTTTAAGATCGCCGTTTGTATAAATTAAACTAGTATCATCGGCGAACAAGTAAAACTGAAGTTTATTGGAAGACTTATATATATCATTTATATACAAGAGATATAAGCAAGGGTCTCAGTACAGGGCCTTGGGGTACTCCACAGAGGGTTTGATGAGCATCAGGTATGTAACCATTGACGGTCGTATACTGATTACGACCAATTAAGTACGACTAAAACCAATTCTTCACTATACCTATAAAGCCATAATTTTCAAGTTTTGAAAAAAGAATTTCATAATGAACTGTCTCGAAAGCCTTTTTCAAATCAATGAATAAACAAAAAGTGAATTGAGATGCAATGAATATATGAAGTTGATATATTTTGAACTGCGGTATTAGATACGTATGATGTACGATCCTTGCAGTAGATAGCGCTATTTATGCGATAGCGAAAATCAGACCTGAAAAAAATCAGGCCTGTACGGGACTCGAACCACTGACCTCTGCGATACTAGTGCAGCGCTCTACCAATGAGCTAACAAGCCAACTGGGAGCAGGCCGTTAAGTTGACTCGTAATAAACCCGTGAAAGTATATGAAGTTCAA